TGCTCCCCACACACAGATACACACATATATATCATCTATCTCAAACTTTTTATTTTTATGCATCTATCTCAATCGTTTCATATCTATTTCAGTCTTTTCATATCTATCTATCTATCTATTTATATCTTTTCATATCTATATCAGTCTTTTTATATCTATTTATTTCAGTCTGTTCAAATCTATCTATCTATCTATCTATCTATCTATCTATCTATCTATCTCAATCTTTTCATATATATATATATACATGTATGTGTGTGTGTGTGTGTATTTCAGTCTGTTCATATCTATCTATCTATCTATCTATCTATCTATCTATCTATCTATCTATCTATCTATCTATCTCAGTCTGTTCGCGCCGGTCTACCTTAATCCTGCGTGTGAACGTGTGTAAATCTGGCGTTGGTTTTTTCTCTCTCGACATCATGTAAATGTCAGTTTTCGGTAGGAAAGAACGTCCTTCTTAAGACAAAGGTCATTTCAATAGCTAATAATTTTGTTTGTCACTAGAACTTCTCCCAATGATTCGGTTTAAAATCTGGCCGGACGACCAAGGCGCCCTTTGGACACAAAAGTACGCCGATGACACAAAGCACTTTCGGAAAGAAAATTCACTAACGACACGTATTCACACACACTCGCACACACACACACACACACACACACACACACATATATATACACATACATACATGAAGGGTGACGCAGTAGTTGCACACCAAAGGAATAATTTATTAACTGTATAATTACACATGAAAATTTTATTTACCAGTTATTTAATTGTTATATGTGCTGTTTAAAATGTTGTCCTTCTTTTTCAAAATACATTTAATTTCTGCATGATTCATTAACACGTCGGAAATTTTCCTGCATTCATATTTAATTCTTTCTTTAAGTTCTGATAAACAACTGATTTCAAATATATGATTTCATATATATATATATATATATATATATATATATATATATATATATATATATATATATATATTCAAACATGTTTCATTGAATAATACAGACACATTGTGTCTATTTATTTTTATATTGATCCTTTTCAGATGTCTAATCAGTTTCTTGATGTTAAGATGAAATTCGTCAAGGAAGGCGCTGTAGTTTTTGTTAACCCAAGTACTTTTCGATCTTTTCCGAGATCATCAATAAGACTTCTCCGTCAACTAATGTTTTGGAAAAATCTAGTATTGTTTAAAGGTCCTTTGGGAGATTGTATCTCTAACAAAAAAAGTAAGTGTATAAGTTGGTTTGACAAGCATAACATTATCAAGACGTCTTACGCTTCATTTGTCGGATACAAGTTCTATTGCACAACATCTAAAAACACATTTCTGTCCACCATCACAATGCAAGAAAGTACTTCATGACAACACCAATATACTATACCACAAAAGCAATAAGCAGAAACTTCAAATTATCGAGGCCCTCTGTATCAAAATCAACCAACCACACTCTACAAAATTTACTACGAATATAGCAACAACATATTAAAATGCATGTAACATATAATGCCATTTTACATTTCTACCAATTTTTGGTGATCTTCTTTAATTTGAAACGCTTGTTTTGCAAAAAATTCCATAAAAACAATAGAAAAGAAAAAATAAATGTATATTCTCTAAAATAAGATAAATAAATGTAAAAAAAAATCGAAAAAAATGAAAATATATTACAGAAGGACAAGGAAAAATCCAATAAAAAATAAAAGTAATATTAAGATAAGAAAGGAAATCAGAAAATGAAAAAAAAAAACAAAAAAAAAAAATTGATTATAATGAAAATAGATTTTAATCAAAATTAAAAATTATTAAAATGTAAGATAATTAAAAATAAAATTAAGTAATAAAATTAAAAACGAAAATGAAAAAGAAAAATGAAAGAAAATAATTGCAAGTAAAAATTATTAAAAAAGTAAAATAATTAAAAAAGAAGAATCTGTAATGTTATCAGTCCTGACTTGGCATTTCGGCTTAAGTTGCTTTCCTACCGCTATAGTATAGCATCTCAGTGACCGTTCTATAAATACTTTTATGGTAATTGTTCTGATAAGCTTTCGTCTTTTCTAACTAGACATAAAAATGTCAGCGTACTATTAGATTGGCGGCAAGGTCTCATCATTTAACTGTTGAAATGACATCGTTGGTTCTATGCTAACATTTTCTTTTCCCGCACTTCTCGCCTGTGAAACTATTTTCCGTCTTCTTGCTTTCCAACCAACTTTGCTCTTCAAAAATTTATATGTAATGTCAATCGTTATCTTCTTGATTCGTCTTCTTTTATTTTTCTATTTCCTTAAATGTTTCTGTTTCTTATTCTTTCACACTCAGTAACCCTTTGTGTCTTAGTGTCTTTATTGCTTTGCTTGGGGGTGAACTGATTAAAAACAAACAAAAAATTAATAACAACAAAAATTAAAATTATTAAAAAGTAAAATAATAAAAATTAAAATAAGAAATAAAATCAGAAGCAAAAATGGAAAAGAAAAGTTAAAAAGGATAATTAAGCATTATTAAAAATTAAAATATTAAAAAATAAAATGATAGAACAATTGATGAAAGAAAAATTATGCTTCATACATTTTTTTTTTTTTTTTTTTTACTAAAATGGCTGCTACCTCTTTAATAAATAGTTTAAAATTTCTTGCGCATGCGTCTTTTATATACCCGGTTGGATGTTATCGAAGGCGGCAGACACAAGGCATGCCCAAATTGCCATATTTTTCGTTTGTCGTCTGCTGACCTTTGATTTGCGAGAAGACATTTTACTTTGCAGCCCCAAGCCTCCCTTTTCATCATCGCTTCCTCTCTCGTCAGAAGTAAAAATGTTTCAATTAGCGACTGGGGTAGTGTGCAAACATCACATTTCGGCGGGCCTTTTTAGACAAACCCCGCCCTAAGGATACAAAAAAAAAAAAAAAAAAAAAAAAGAGAGAGAGAAAAGAAGAAAATAAAAGAAACGAGAAGTGAAAAGTCAATAAAAAAATTATGCTCGCGTATTTTTCCTTAAGTGTCATAATTCCTAAATAGCAAATGCTAAGAAGATGATAGGTTTAACTTGGGCTAAAAAGGTTTCTGGGAATATAAATATCCGGATAAAGGGAATTTTGGTTACGTTTCTTAAGCAGCTTGTAACAATTGAGTTTTCTTTGTGAAAAGTTTATGGGTGATTCTGCTCTTGAAAACCTACTCGTACTGGGGGCGTTTATTTTTTGAAAAAATTTTTCAACCACCGAGTTTGTTATTAAGATACCCTCGTTTATAAATTTTGTATATTTTTGTGCCTTCAAATGATTTTCCGATGCCTTTTTGCTAAGACACCCCTGTTTAGTGCATATTTACATAAAAACCGACCCCTATTTATTAAGAGCTTTCCCGTTTTGTATTCTGCATCTAACAGCATACATTAGTGTGATTTTATGAATTTAGTCTTTAAAAATATTTCCATTACGCAGTTTAGTTTCGACATAATCTCTTTATGTGTGCTATTTCTCTTCAGGACGTGGGCGATCATGGCTCTCCACGGCAACATAGAATGGAGAAAAAAACAACTTGACAAGGCTGAACTAATAGATGAACCACAACGTCAAAGACTGAGCATAAAGAGACAGTTATTACTGAAGCTAACAAAATGCAGGAAGCTGTGGAGACCCACGATCGCCCTCGTCCTGAATATACATGGCACATAGAATGAGAGACGGAACGTACTTGGTGTTGTTGTGTATGTTCGGCCATGTATTTGTTCAGACATGTCTCTTTATATGTCATGTCTCTTCAGAACGTGGTTGATCATGCTCCTTCACAGTTTCCCGCATTTTATTGGCTTCAGTACGCTCACTCTTTGCCATAGTGCTTCATATTCGGCCATCTAATGATTCAGACTATCAGTTAAGTTTCTTGCTTCTCTTTTGATACTCCTTGTGTATGTTCCCATTATGCACAAGAAATATGATACTCCTTGTGTATATTAACCCATTATATACAAGTAATATGATACTCTTTGTCTATAGTAACCCATAATTGCTGTTGTTCCCAGGTCCACCCTGACCTAACATGGTAATATCTGTTTGGGTTCTAGCTATGGACAAATAGTGAACCCCCAAACTGGTGTCAAAACATTATGAAAGAATAATATTAGATTTTTATAGTAAATTGTTATAAACCTCACCTATGAACACTAATGGGTATGTCCCAATCCTCATAAATACGTTGGGTACTATTGTAAGTGGGGGCAATATGCTGTCTAAACTGGCAGCATGAGCTCTCAGCGCGGGAAGCTCTTGCTGTGTCGAACTCTCTGTCTTCAGTGAGAGAGGAACCCGGACGAGTCTTTGCCGAAGGGCAGTTTCGTCCAGGGAGGTAGACAGATACCCGATCCGGCGTATGCGGGGGTCTATGAGTAAATTTTGCCCATCCCACGGGTTCGGATTTCCCCACATTAAATTTGGCCTTGTGTCGCATCCCACCTCGTGGGGAGGCAGATAAATAACGTAATATGCTAAGTAGTTCACCACTAGTAGTGGTTTACCAAATTCACGCCTCTGGTGAGTATTGTATTTTGTTTATGTTATAAAGATTACCATTTCATTTCCAACTTCCGTTTTGGTTATTTCTCATTCAGTAACCTTTCCTGGGTTACAATATAAATATTTTCAGTAATAGAGTTTAATAGTAAAAAAAAACCTAGTGAGAGAAACTAAACAATTCCAGCAATAGATTTTAATGGTAAAAACTTACCAAAACATCCAAGAAAATTAATTTTCGTCATTAAATGACTCACAAGTTGATATACCGCTAAACACCCACCCCCTAAAAAAACTAAACGAAAAAAAAAAAAAAAAAAAACAACAAAAAAAAAAAACAACAAAAAAAAACGAGTGGTTATAATCTTCGTTTCCAGCTATGAGACCCGGGTTCGAATCTCATCATGGTCGATTTACCGGGAAAGTGACTTCTCTATGTTATCGGCCTGGGGAGGCGATTCCATCTTTTTCAGCACCTGATATTCTCAAGTGGTCACCCATCTAGGTACTGAGGAGACTCAACGTTGCTTAACATCGGTGATCGGACGAGAACCGGTGTTGGTAATTGTGCATAATAGCGCCTCCTCTGTGCAAGCATACAAAATAAAAGAGTAGGTTACGTTTCATTATTTTTATTTAAAAATGGATTCATTTAATTGATTATTATGGCAGCAAACACCTCTTGAAATACAAAAGAAAATAAAGCAAACTTTTGAAGAGAATTTCTTTAGAAACAAAAACTGAAAGAAAGAATCGGTCTGATTCGGTAAGAAAAAACAAAAGATGTTGGAGCGGGGGAAAATTTTGTGCCAAAAGACTGCGCACACACACGGAGAGCTTCAGCATCGAAGGAAGATTTCTGAAAAGATTTTCTGGGGACAGCTGTAAAATTTGGAGAGACGTATAAATTCGTAATGCCATCAAGTGGCAAATTCTTCAGCCAAGTATGTTTATAGTTTCTTTGCCAAAACATTCAGAGGGACAGCAAAGACCAATCCCTGACTACAGCTAACCAACCCATGAATTCTCGCTCTTACACCTACACATCTGCCAACACATTCAGACACGCGCGTACTCAGTTGAAAACCCACCTAGTTCAGATATAAACATATTCACACATACGCACCACCCACCTAATTCAGATATAAACACAAACACACACACACACACACACACGTATATATTACACGCAACTATTTATCTTTTTATAGAAACACCAGGATTTTATTATTTTTAGTAGAACATTATACAATGAAAATATTATTAGATTTTATGCAAACATCATATTAGATATTTATTTCTCAATTCGACAGCATTAAAATTGTAAGCAAAGATATGTTGCAGACCAAAAATAGATACACTCCCGTGAAATAAGTTAATTTTATTTTATACTGTAAGTATATTTTCAAAACAAACTTATTTTGTTCATGTAGAGGAATTAATTACATTTGACTATAAATAGTGTATACAATGTTAAAATAGTTCTTATCAAAACATAATTTTTAGTGTATAGACATTTATTTAAAAGGGTTGCGCATAGGAAAGAATTCGCTCCTGTTTCTTAGAAGCGTATTCTTCCTTTGTACAAATAGAACATCTATCAAAAAGAGCTTCTTTCTTCTTTTATATGCCGTATTATTTCAGGACGTAGGTGATCATGACCCTCCACATCTCCCTGTCCCTTGTAGCGTTTAATAGGTTTTGTCTTTTTGTTATTTCTCCCAAAACTTTTTTCTGTCATTCATTTGCTTAAGCTTATCAAGTATGTTACGCGCTGCTTTCCTCTGCCCTGTGAGTATCAGGTTTTCCAAGCCCCGCTTCCTCATTACATGCCCCAGAAGCGGCAACGGTCTCTTCCTGATGTTAAGTATAAATTTCCTTTTTGTTTCCATTTTCTCCAAAACATTGGATATCTTGGATTGTTGATACCTGGACAGTCTCCGACGGCCCGTAGAATGTGTTCTTCGTGGTCAGGCGTACGATTTCGGTCTTCCTGGATCCATAATTTGTGGTGCTACGAATCCTGTCTCAGCAACGCGACGATAAGCAGCAGAAAAGGCTGCATGACTCGGCTGCCTATGGTCTGAAAACGCTATCTGATACAGCCATGCGGCCGTATGCAAAATTCATATCTGGTTGCTCCCAATATGAATATCCTGCTATTGTTAAACGGAACCCTTCTCAGTTAACTCACTACTACAGACATTAAACGTGAAAGACAGACTAGCCACAAATGTACACGAATGACAAATGTAACATAGTCTAAATGGCAACACAGTGCCATCTACCGTAAACTTTCTTTAAGTGTAATCGTCAGGCCTGATGATTGCGCTTAGCATGAAACAGACTGTCGCTTCTGAGTGTTGACTTCAATATTCACTTTTATATTTGCATAAGCTCTATCCCTGATATTGAGCACTTTAACCGATAAATATAGCATACCTTAAAACTATATTTTATCATATATATATATATAATTAATTATTTAATTCATTAGACCTACAAATTCAAAAAGAAATCGGAAAATATAACTCCGGGAATAAAAAATAAAATTTTAGTGAGAGTGTATGAGTGGGAGTGGGAAACAAGTGTGAGAGGGAAATGTATAAAAGCTCTAGAGAGGGGTAACAGAGGAAAGAAGAACAGAAAGGCCTAAAGGTGAAGTTTGGGATTAAAATTTAAAAGAGAGAAGTTGTATATATATATATATATATATATATATATGATACGTCACGTGTATTTGAAGATTTTTGTTTGCAGGATTTTTGCCGAAATGGAAGTTTTTATATGCCAGTGGGCCATGTATGCAATAAAACAGAGTAATATCTTTTTTTAAAATTGAAACTACATTCGACAGAATTTGAACTGTTAATTCCAAATATGTTACAGGCATGAATCTACAACCGAAGTACGTTTTTTTTTTTTTTTTTTTTTTATTTACGCAAGAGCTAATAAGGCGAATCTCATAGTAGCCTGACGAGCACTTTGGATATAAAAGGAAGTTAGAGGGAGAATATGGTCGAGAGAAAGAACAAAAATAGAAAGCATGAACTTGGAAGAAAGTCGAGGAAGGAAAGAAGGAAGGAAAAATGTTGGCAATTTGACCAAAAACTGGAAGTGGAAAACACCCACACTCTATTCCCCGAGTCAGAGTCGTATATACAGTGTACGATGGATAAATTGTCTAAATTACGCAAAAATGAAAATAACACTGACAGCTCATTTTAACAGATATATTATGACACAAAAATATCTTGAAATACGAAGTGTAAATTTATTCAATAAAATCGCCTTTGGCTTCATCCACGGTCTCCAGACGACTTAATAATCTCCTGCAACTCTTCAGGACAGTCTCCTTGTTTAAGTTGGTGAATGTTGCCATAATCCTTGCCTTCAGTTCATTTTTGAGGTTACAAGGAGTTTTGTTGGCCCCTCGTTCAACTGCGCCCTACATATAATAATCAAGTGGGTGGCAATCTGGGGAGTTAAGTGGCCAGATGTAAGGAGTGATGTGGTCGGAGAAATTGTCTGACAGCCATGACTGGGTTCTCCTGCTCGTGTAGCATGATGCAGAGTCCTGTTGCTAGACATACGGTCTTCCAGCAAGCATCCTCTTCGCTCAGGGTAGAACTACCTCCTCAAGGCACTTGATGTAGACCTCCGTGTTGAGTCTGAGGCCGCGTGGGAAGTCAACCAGTACAGCATACCGTTTCTAAATTTCTGACAGAGTGAATTGCGTTATGGTGCCCTTTTTCTCACAAACCGTGCCCAACTGACTATACTGTGCAGTCAATAAAAACAAACAACAAGCATGCGCGAAATTTATTGCACCCTGTATATACTAGGTCTGTCTGAAAAGTAACGGGACTGGGTTGCAGCGTGAGCTCTGGGTAAAAGAGGGCTAAGTGGATTGTGTTATCATCTAACCAGATATCTTGAGAGTATATAACTGTAATCGTAGCGTTTGTTTCGCTCAGTTCGCGAAAAGAGACGAGAGTTGAAGGAGGACAAATCGTGCTTGCTTGTGCACAACAATGCACCTGCTCACAACGCCCTAAGCATCCGGCAGTTCATGGCCGAGAAGAACATCGCCGTCCTGGAACAACCTCTAATTATCTGATCTCACTCCCTGTGACATATTTCTTTTCCCCAACCGCAAGTGGATCGTCAAGGGGACCCGTTTTGAAGGCGTCAAGAGGACCATAACGACAGAGCTGAAGGGAATCCAAGAAGAATCCTTGCAGTAGTGCAGAAAATGATGGAAAAGTGCATCAGACTCAAGCGGGGATTACTTTGAAGTGGACAAACATGTACTTTGTTGTTTGGAATTGAAATAAATTGTTTGTGACACGAGTACCATTAATTTTCAGACACACCCTTTATATGAAGTTAGGCAAAATGTTCGTTCGGTTTATTAAATAAATTTTCAACTTAATAAGTGAACTTTTTGGCCCATATATATATATATATATATATATATATATATATATATATTTAATTGTTTTTAAATGAAACGGAACTTTGTATTTTATATGATTGAATTTAAATTGAGGTTTCAGCTTTGAAACATGGAAATTTCAATACCAGAGATGATTATATATTTAGAAAAGTAATTATAATAATATGCTCTACTGTTGTATCGAGCACTGTTTTTTAAAAAAAAATAAATGCTAAGAACTCTGAATTATAAATCTCATTGTTCTTTCCTATGATATATATATATATATATATATATATATATATATATATATATATATATATATATAAAAAAAATTTGTTGACCCTATACACATAGTGCTCATAAAACATAGAAAATATAAAATAAAATAGAGTCTATTTTATATTATATTTTATATATGTATATGTCAGTTTGTCTTTTTTGAGGACGAACTAAATGATGTCATTACTTGTAATCGAGTTGTAGCCATCATGCCTTTATATCAGAAATAAAAAAAAGATATCCTATATACGAAGACGTGCTGAAAAGTTATGTGTCCTACATAGAATGCCTTTCGAAAAAATACAACTTATGTTTGGTTATTTGTTCAGATTCGGGTTAAGTAGGTAGGGCTGAGAAATTTTCAGCGGTTTTCCCCTCCCCGTATACAATAAGTTTTTGTGAAAATATCAATTTCTCTTTTTGTTTTATTGTTAGTAATATTAGTATACAAAAGTACTTACCCATTATATACACATACAGCACCAATGAGGCATAAATTTATTTTTCTTGAAAAGAAAGACGTATGAAAAAAGAAAAAAAATCCTACTCATTCCCAAAAAAAAAAAATAATAGAGAGAGAGAGAGAGAGAGAGAGAGAAACAACATCAGAATTACTTTAAAAAAAATCCGGAAATAATTAAAGGAATGAAAAAAAATTCTTATGGTTTTGAGTATCCCCAACATAAGAGCAAAAGATTTATGGAATTCCTCATCTCTTTCTTTCTTTCTTTCTGTCTGTCTGTCCCTCTTTCTTTCTTTCTTTCTCTCTCTTCCTCTCCCTCTGATTCCCAAGACTGGACGCATAAAATTAACTGTCAGTGGAATCGCTTCTACAAGAAT